TATAAAAACACGTCAATTCTTGCTGCCCACTTGTTGTACGAAACCGAAAGCTCAGTCAAATAGGAATGCTGCCGCAGTGATCGCTCCATCATCTTCTTTGCAGAATGAGTGTGCTGGTGATAGGCGGTGACAATTCACAACGGTGCCTACTGTGCTGACGCAGGCATAGAGAGACGACTCGATAGCAGGAAATTGTGGCGTTGTAAATAAGGCAGGCGGCAAGGGTATTCAAACACTTCTAAATGAGAGGAACATTTTAGTTAAATCGAGACAAGCCCATCACAGTCTACACGCTTTGTTTGTTTCTGTAGGGTAGCTCGGAAATAACTTCAATGGACGTACGCGAGGCAAAATTATCTTAAGAAGTGATCCTCGACAATGATAGAAGACAAAAACAAGTATTTTCAGTACATTGTGCATGCGTTTGGCCATGAACTCAGTGTACTCTACCAAGGGCCATGAGGTGCACCGCAGTGTAGCTTAACAACATACAGTCAATAAAACAAATTGCGCACGTTGGGTTGGCAGTGGCCCAAGGATTTAGACGCGCGACGACATTGACAGCTTAGGTACAAATATCACGTGATTAATTGTTGGGGGTATAAAAGATGTCCCCTGCAGAGTAGGTGAAAAAAAAGAGACCACGAACCATGCTAAGTCCTGCCAAAAATCGTGAATGTGTGCAGGCTTTGCACGATAAAGCTAGGCCAGCGATGAGTGAAACAGAATTAAAGCACAAAACTAAACAGGCTCAACAGGGTACAATCCGTAAATGACAAGGTAGCATTTCCGTGAAAAGAGATAGTTGACATGTTCTTATTTACCACAGTAAGCTTCCCTCAGCTGGCTCCCTAAAAACGCCGGTTAAATCATAATTTACACTCTACTGCAAAGTAACAGCAACGAACAGCACATGAAATGAACGCCTGAAGGTATTGGAAGAATACGGTTGGTTGTGAGACTGACTTACTGACGTGTGATTAATCTGAGGATATGAAGACACGACGAGTCTCTCAACAAGCACAACACTTAAAAAGCACAGTCTACCGTTCCCAAACTATAGGAAAAGGATAAATTTAGACAGCCAGAAGAGGTACATCGTTTTTCTGCGTGTCCTCAGAAACCTTCTACGCGTTTACATCAGTATCAGTATATGGAGGGATATGTAGGAAAAATTCCTTTGAGTTAACAGATTTCCAATGCTACAAATAGCGTTCAACTGGCTCACCTTGAGGACACGTTTTATCAGGGAAGGTATTGGAACGTATGGACTTGCGGCTTTCAACATGCTGTGGAAAATTGAATTCAGTTCTAAAAGCAAAAGATAAGAATGACTGTCTACTCTTTTACAGTAGGGAGCGGATACTTAGTTGGAATTCAGTTAACAGTTGAAAGGCTAAAGAACACGGATGAAAATCCAAATTACCTGACATCACGCGGTCAAATTGCTTTTGTTTACGCAGAGCGAATAGCAGGTCAATGATGGTATACCAGTAGCTCTGAAAAAGCGAAGCAAAGAAAATGTGATTACGTCAAAAGTGCGTACTCACATTAAATTAAGTAAGCATAATACAACCTTACCTCATTTTCCAAATCCCGCCTCGCCACGCAACGGCGAGCAGACAGGGCGAAGAGGCAGTCAGCACTGGCGCGGAGAGAGGCGGCTGCTTGCGTAAAGATGGACTGCTTTTCTGCTTCAGAAGCCGTCGACGGGCTGCAGCAAGCAACAAGACCAGTCCAATGAGAGAGGAAATCCTTCAGAGAATAGGAAAATAGGCGTTGTCCAGAAATGCACATAGGCCATTTAGAAAAAAAGGAGGGAAATGAGGAGAAGGCACGCCCAAAAGCCCAAGTCTTGGAGGACGCAGGCGAAAACGCCCACGAATTCCCGGTCGGACAAAGTCATGGCAAAAAAGCATACAAACACATGAAGCGAAATTTCGGAGTGACAAGGGTCTCTATTCAGATAGTATTGCCAGTAGAGACAGGAATGGCCATTTCTGACTAGGTAGCTGTCGTTATTACCAACCCCCAAGCGGTGCCCCACCGAGGCTCGAACCCGCGATCTTTTGATCAAAATGCTAACACTCTAACTATGGAGGCACGGGCTCGTTGTCTTGCCGGTTTAGATCGGCAGATATTGACACCCATTGACGAACTCTCACCCATCGGTAATAGTATCCATTCGTCTTTCTCTGTCTTGAGGCTCATTCTCGAGCCCCGTTAACACCCACACAGTGACTGGGAGTCTAGGCAAATATCTCCAAGACAGAGCAGGACAAATAAGTTCCGTTAGCGATAAGTGAACTTTAACCAACGAGTGTCAAGGGTCCCTATTACTAAATCGTTATTCACATTGGTAAAAGCTCCCGGTATTTGGTTAGCATAAGTAACATAGGCGAATGTTCAGTAAATACCAATTTAATGAAAAAGCGGGTTTTCTGACGGAGAAATGAAATACAACAGGTAAAGATAAGGGATACTACATATTATGCTTCTTCCTCTTCCGGGAATGATGAAATGAATATAATGCTTCGTTAGCAAATACGGAAAAAACACTTGAAGCGCTCACGCCAGACGAAACAAGGAAACGAAAAAGAGCCACTTTTAAAGGTAGAACGAGTGTTAAGTGATGTTTGTTGTAATGAATTGGAGAGAAAGAGAGAGAGATTGGAGAAACTCGCAATTTTCCACAAATAACTGGGATTATGCAAGTTACCAAATATTAACATTTGATCAGAAAAAGAGCTAGATGATTACGAAACCAACAACAATCTCATTTTGGAGCACTTACGGTTTGAGCCAGTTTCGACGCCTTCTGTGTGTCCCCGATCTTCTCATATACACAGGCAAGTTCTGACGGGTAGGATTCTTCGTCCAGCAGCTAAAGAACATACAGAATTTAGTCAACAATTGAGGAAAACGGCGTAGTTACGGTCGTGTTATGATATTTGAAAATTTGTTTTTCGTACAGCCAAAGATAGGACGCAAAGGGTAACTGATTTAAACGTAAATGTGAGAGGTAAGACACAGTCGAAAGAACTTTCTCTGCGAAAGCGAGGAAAATTTCAACAATTTACCAGTTATAAGTGGGCAACATCTCAAGCAGAAACACGCCGAACCACGAGTTATTTATGCCCGGCCATTTTCCCTTGACTGTCAGTCGGTAAAATGCTTTGCTATAATGCAGAAGCGTAAGGCAAAAGAACGGGTAACACAGATTTACCTGAAAATTACCGACAAAGACTAAGGAGACTGGAATGACCATTTTTGGCTTATTAGCCGTCATCAGCCAGCCACACCCAACACCAAGTGGTGCACTACGCGAAGCTCGAACCGGCGACCCGTTAATTAGAAGTCCAACGCCCTAAACCATGGAACCGCTGGGCTTGTTGTTTTATGGGTTTAGATCGGGAATATTAACACTGACGGATGAACGCTCCCCGATGCGTTACGGTTACTTACTACTATGGTCTATCTCTCGGGGCACTCCAGTCCTACCCACTGGCCCTCATCAAGTCTACCACCCGACAGTCTACTCGTCGGTTGACTGCATTTCCCCAAAGTATTTACTTATTCTTCATAGTCTTTCCGTCTCCCTTTGATAATAATGCCATTCTGCTTATACCACTAGCTGCTGTAGGACAGCCGGTGGGGCCCAAAAGTGAGTCTCAAGGCACAACAGGATCAGTATATCTCACAACGCGATGAATAAGTGCCTCTCTACGGCTTCTCGTTGGATAACACTCCGTCTATTTTGGTCTTAAGGCTTACTGACTGCCGTAGGTCGGCTTCAGACGCTGCAAGCAATTACATTGCTTGTATCTAAAACAGAAATGCCAAGGCAAAAGTAACAGATGCAGGAAATTGGCGTATGGAAGACTAGTGGAAAGCGGTTGGAGACAAAGGGAAGGTCAGCAGGTGTGGTGAAGTAAAAAACCTACCTCGATAACAAAATCGGCTCGATATTCTTCATTGGTTGCCAGAAAGTGGCGCAACCGTTCTCGTTCACCACCAGCTAGAAGCAGAACAATGAAGAACTCCGCGACACAGGGGTCC